TTTTAAAAAAAAAAAAAAAAAAAAAAAAAAAAAAAAAAAAAAAAAAAAAAAAAAAAAAAGATCACCAGGTAGATACACACAAGCAGACAATAATTTTTCTAAATAAACCTCTTTTAAAATCAAATTTTGGATTAGAAATGTGAAAGAAGTTATTATACACTACACTATAGGTCCTCTAAGAAACTTATCCTAATGAAATGATGTAATTATCAAAAGCCCTTAAATAAAAGACCCAGGAATTTCCTGATTTGCAGATTCTGTAGAAGTGAGAAATGCATGCAAGACAAGTCCTGAGTTACAAACTGCATGCAGATCTGAAGAAGACTGGCATCATGTGATCATCTGACCCAGGAAATCCTACACAGAAATGAAAGGTTTCATTGATAAAACAGAACTTAAAAATAGTTGAATTTGGGTATTTAATCATCACATTGTCCACTAATGCACGTTTACAAAAGACACAAACAAAAAGATCATTAATCAAGAGATTCTGTATATTAGTTGAGATCATGACGTCCAGTTGCCATTGAATACGAAACCCCATTCAGGTGATAAGGTTACCAACTCCGTTGCCCTCATTTGGGCCTTTTGCAAACACCCAGGCAGCTTCATTACTATCACCTGTTATTCAGGCAAAGGAAAAAGAGGTAAACAAGCATGAAGTCCTCACACACAGTCAGTCTCATAGCGATACGTTTCTGCTTGTTGCACAGAACTCTGCTGGCCTAGACCTGGAAGAAGGATGAAATTCAGCCAGAGATCCAAGCAGCTGCTGAATGGTGAGGTAGAGTGGGATGCTGGAAGCAGGATAAGTGACAGAGATGACATAAGGACATGCAGGAGCCCAACTTGACAGCAGTTGTACAACTCTGGGATGCTGGGAAAGAGCAGCACATGGACCAAGTGGCTGCACACCCAACAGGAAGAAGTAGCTGACTCATCAATGATGCTGGGTGGGTAATGAGGTGGACAGGCATTGTGGCATACAGTGACAGGCCCTGCAAACTGTGGCTACAGCCACAAACCAAAGGACAGTCTTCAAATGTACACAGCGTGGAAAGGACCATTGCTACATATCATGGACTTTAGGCACACACACATCCCTGGAGAGGAGCACTGTTAGTCTTGCTCTTCACTAATTAAAGGCTAATGATGATAGCTGTTCAACAACACCTGTAATTAATGAAAGTAATTGTTTTACCAGAAATGGATTAAATGTGGAAATGACTATTTCAACAAGTTTAGGCCTAAAAAAATTTATATTTTGAAATCACCACTTAGTTCTAACAGGAAAACTCTTTTTTTTGAGTACATAATGGGCTGTTATTACCATAGTGCTTCTATGGTAGTAGTTAGCTTCATTAAGAGTCCCATTTGTTTTTAAAATATTAGTATCTCTCCACAGAACTGAGTTTGCTACTGAGTTTACTGACCTAGCATCAGAAATAATATTTGGTTTTTGAATATAGGAGAAAATTAGGAAATTGCTCAAAAGGTCAACACCAGGAAGTCAACATATTGCCTTGAAGAAAGAAAGCAACGAACAATAGAAGTTTTTTAAAAAGAAGAGTTATAGCAATCCAAGTCCCGTACGATGACTGCAAGCTTGGGAAAGAAGATGTTGTGGTTATAACTAAATGCTGAATTTTTTTAAGAAAAAGGAAATAAAATAACTTTGAGACAAAAAATGCATTTATCTTGGGTCACACCTTTGCTCTAAGTTTTCCTGATATTTATTGAATTAAATAACAGAAATGGGCCTAAATTATAGCATAAAAGATTGATGTAAAATGTACAGAAGAACGTTTTGACTCTGAGTCACTGAAATCTCTTGAAGAAGACTGGCTCACAAACAGAAGTATGTGGAGCTCAGGTAAACAGTAGGTATTCAATAAATGTTTGCTGAATGAATGAAGAAACTGAAATAGCCTAGACAAAATTCAAAAGTAACATGGAGACTGAAGTTTTAGAGAACCATAGGCCTTCTGAATGGAAACTTAATAAGCAGCATTAACAAAAAATGGCTGTTTTCCAAATTCCTGCTTTCTGGGGTGTTCCAGGTTCCCCTGACTGAGAAGGACCATTAATCTGCTACTACTTCTGCTTTCCTCCTTCTTTGAGAACAGCTGGACTGCCTACCTTCCCCCTTCCCCACCACAAAGAATCCAGAAAAAGGTACACTGATGTTGGTTCACCTCATTTCTTTTGGCTAGGTCATCATCATCTGTTAATTTTCCTCCCCCACTTCTTTATGGTGTCTAGGATATAGAAGCTGTCACTGCCAAGTTAGTCCTCGGGGCAGAATATACACTGCATCAAATGGGAAGCATGTGATATTATGTTCAAAAGATCATGTACAAACATGAAACAATGGAAGTCTAGGTGCTGGTGTTAGATGAGCTACCTATGAGACAGACAGCAGGAATGGGTGAGCACACACCAGTGTGCAGCAGTGCGCTACGAGAACATGCCTTTAAAAGTACGTGGAAAAGTGTGGTGTTTGTCTCTGATAACAAGGCTGTATACAGAAAGGATAGATTGGAAAGTCTATGTATGGAAGGAAGACATGAAATTTTGTAGATATGATATGGTTTTGTAGAAAGGATATAGTTTTGGTTAGGTTATATAATTAATGGTCTTTGAAAATTCCTAGATGTTAGATATATATGTAAATTTGGGTTCTAACAGAGCTGGACAATAAACATGCTATCCAGAGCAACAAGAAACTCTGAGGTAAAGAGAAGAGGGCATAGGCATTCAAATGTAAAACCATATCAGGGTTTTTTGAGGATTGTGCACTAATAAATGCACAGAGATTCCTACACAAGCATATCACCAGCATAATAGATATATTAAAAATATTTATGACCATTTTATATACCATCTGGCTTACAATCAGAATAATGACCTGGGTGATCTTTCAAAGTGTCTTCTAGTCTTAAAAGATCCTAATATCATTCAGTATTAAAACAGTTAGCCACCAAAGGCTCTATGAGTCTTACAGAGAACATAAATGAGGCCTAATGTGCTATATCTATGATTCTGTGGCCAGATCCATGCTAGTAAAATTAAATAGAATCTTAAATAACTTATTCATTAAGTTCAAGGAAACAAACTAAAGTACTTTGGGTTCAATTATCAACTGCACATTTCTTTTGATCTCAATACTATCCTTAATTTCTCTAATATTTGATGTGTGTAGATTCAGCATAACTATAAAGACAAATAAATACTGTCTCAATTTGTGAAATCCCAGAGGCAAGATGAAACACATATCATTATTGTGATTTGAAAAGGAGTATTCTTTTCTAAGAACTATTGATATTACTTCATTTCACAAAAAAAAAACAAAACCCTGTAAACTATAAGATAAGACCAATAAGGACTCCGTTTGTACACTGATATTTACATACATTAACATCAGAGATCCTGAACCAATACTTTGTACAGTTAAGAGTCAAATTTGAGTAAGGAAGACCATTACTAAGACCCTGCTTATGATGACCATCAAGGAATAAACATATTCCTTTGTGGATGAACTGCGTATTCTGAGGTGCTGGCATTCTCCTAATTTTATTTAGTTATTTAAAGATTCAGTCTCTCCAGTGGATCATGCACAGGTTTTCTGATTCTTGTTCACACTGTGCTTGGCTGAAGGAACTAAAACAATTATAAAGATGATGCTTCCCGAATCACTGCGAAAGCTAAATGGCACATCTGTTTATTTGGTTTTAAAAAAAAGAATCTTTAATATGACAGGCATCAATGATTCATAAAATTACTTCAGTTCAAGAGGAAGAGTGAGATGAAAAGACCTACTAAATAAAATCCTCAACATAGCTATCTACCTTTCCACTGTAGAAAATCATGAATGAGTACCTGGAGCAGAGTTACGTCAGTGTACTACTAATAGAATACACTTTAATAGCATCAGCTGTTCTGTTCAACCAAAAAGGAAAAGTCAACAGAGGTGACTGGCAACATGTGATCTATAGATATTTTTATTTCCTAAACTGCCCATATGTCTCCTTGGCTTGAGAATTTCCAGGTTCTTTATTCTGTAACTCGAATACAACTTTTTAAGACTATATTTTACTAATGCCACCTATAGAATGAAGGCCTATGGGTGATACTAATAGGTAAATAATCTTTTCAGTTAAGGTTTAATTAATTGACAGATAATTTCTCCCAATTTATTATTTCTTTTCCTTTAATACTTCTTTTAAAACACCCTTATCATTACCATTCTTTTTTGGAATATCTTCTAGATAAGTGGCCTGTAGAAATTGCAGTTACAGACACTGAATTACAAAAGTGTGAATACAAAACTGCAAAAGCAATTGAAGAAAAATTAACACCTCTAAAACAGTGATGTGGCCAAAAGGAAGTAAGCTAACTGCAAATGTGTGTTTAGTATGTGTGTGCAGAGGCACTGAGAAGATGTTAGAAATGTTACCAATCTATGAAGCTAAAAGAACTTTGGAAACCAAAATGAATGGAAGTCAAGAATGTATTAGGAAAGCACATAAAAACCTAGGATAAAAAAGCTGCCAGATACAAAATTCCACTGATACCCTCTTGAGACCATTGGACATTTTTTAAAAAGTTATTTTCATATTGTATCCTTAAATAGAAATCATTTTCTAGACAGGTTTTATGAATGTACCCAATGTGTACACACTTTGTTACTTTTTGACTGATAAATTTATAATTTTTTTTGTTCCCAAACTCTCATTACTAGTTGTCATTATTGCAATGTGTTTGAATATACCACATGTTGTCCATAGTTTAAAACACATAACAAAATATAATGTAAAAAAAATTGACAAAATCAATACATATTATTGAAATAATAATGTACTTACAAAAAGAAAATAATCTTTTGTCTTAGGAAAGGCCTACTTCCTCAACTTATTAGTTGTTTGAAACCCCTTTTTTTCTGCTACGTATGAAGCTCTGAGTTAGGATTTTACATTTCTGGTTTAATCATACCTTTTACATCTTCATCCTCTATTGTTGTATTTGAGCTCTCGGTTGACTCCTGTTGAGAAGAAAACACATTTTTTAAGTTGCACACAATGAATACAGTGATTTCTACTTTTGAAAATGTTGGCTAGTGATATATATATCATGCAAAATTCTTCAGCAGGCTGTGTGCATATGCTGACATGCAAATGGACAAATACATTAAGTGGTTTTTAACAGAAATAAAATGTCAAATGCTGCAAACCTTTCAAAAAGGGAGTACTCTGGTTGCCTAATCTCTGAAGCAGTATAAATTTGGGTGATTTGTAGAAGAGAAGTATGCAGTTTAAGAACTGGGTAAGGACGTGTGGGTTACAGTGCCCCATGAGGTGTGCTTTTTCTGTGTGTTTATGAGAAGTTGAATGTATTGGCCAAATTAATTTGAATATTAAAATAGGAACATTTTATTCCCTATTAGTTAATCAGCGAATAGTACCTTCTTTGTGTCGGGCACTATGTCAAGCACTGAATTTGCAGTCTATTTGTCTGCCTTACTCCTTTGTATACAGAAAGCATTTTATTGCATCACTTGAAGAAAAGCTAAGGGTATTAAGTTGAGATATGCTGAAAGTACTTTTAAGAAGAATTTTCATGTTCATGATCAGCACAATGGAATTCTAATGAATAATTTACTTTCAAGGACAATTAGATTTTTTTCATTCTTTTCTAAATTAGAAACTGGCTGTTACTGATAAGAAACCCACTTCCATAATAAAAAGACAAAGCTATTTCTTTGTGAAACTAGAAATTAAGTTGAAGATTAGTAAGCACACTTAAAAGTACACTGTAACTGCCAACATTAAGATACTTTTATTGAGATGGTTTGATAAATGTTTCCATTAATAATGTACTAACAAAATACTTCCCAGGAAACAAATTTTGCAATATTCACAAGAAAGACATAATTTTCTACTTAGAATAATTAAAGACCAGAGCTGAAAAAAATTGGAAACAAACTTCCAATCAATAGCTATATGCTCAGTGATGAAAAACAGATATTGGAAAATGATGCAAACACCAGTCTGTGTCCTTTTAAATATTTGATATTAAAAAAGTGATCAATTTATATTAATATCATATACAATATTTAAACCAAAGGGACAAACTAAAGATGTATCCAGAGTCTCCATACACACAAAACCAAAGAAAAGAGTCTTCATGCGTTTCTTAATGTGACCTAGTGTTCAAATTTAAACTCAAAATGAAGGTAAAACCCATGCACTGCATAAATAAACTAATTCATGTAAGCAAGAAACACCATGCAGCACCTCTTACAAATGATACAGCTAGAACTATTGAAGTATCCACTCCGGCTGTTAGGCTTGGTCTTTCATTGGCTAATGCTATTAAAAAAAAGTGTTCTCGTATGTGGTGGTCCTAACTAACTTATCTCTTTTAGGGACTTAGAACATTTTCAGTGCCATGTCTATAAAATAAATCTCATATTAAGAATACAACACTTTGTGTTTTTTACTTTAATGATTTTAATATTGATCAACTAAATGTTAAACCAGAGGAGAAATGTGTTTTCCAAGACTTAAGCATTGTTGATAAGAATAAGGAGAAGTAAAACCTATCACAATACTTAATATTTGAGAAAAGTATTATGAAGTATTTTTCCTCCCCTTAGAGATATAATAATACATGAAAAATAATAAACTGGAAACATGGAATACATTCAGAAAATGTCTCCTTTCATACTATAGACATGTATGCAAATGCTGCCATTTAATTAACATGCTGTGTAAATAATTTACAATGGATAGAAAACAGTCTTCCTCCAGCATGAGTAGTTAAATGTGTACTACTGAAAAGCATATAACTCAATAATGACAAACATATTTCAAAGGAAGTGAAACTCCCAGATTCTCCTCAAATTCATGCCAAACAACAACATCATCACCAACAGAGTATTAAAAAACAACAAAACAAAACAAAACAAAACAAAAAACCACTATGACAAGAGAATAGAATAAAACTCAAAAGCAACATTAAATTTAAACAAATACCTATGAACTCAAGTTGATACTTTTGAAGACAGTGGAATGATATAGCAAGAAATTCTAAAATTTCATGCAGAATACATCTACAGTACAAAGCACAGTCATGGAGAAAAAAAAGAGCAGATGGAATTGCTTAAGATACACAGTCATCTTGTCATAAAGACTTCATAAATGTTTAGCCTGACTTTTACTGACTCATGGTAACATTCATTTCTTTCAAGTTGTCATTTATTTTTATTTGAAAGAAGTATGTGTAAAGTTCTAGACAAATCAGGCCCAAAAGAAATTGTGGTAGAAAAAGGGTAAAGATTTTCTTTTCTATTTTTAGATAATGAGTTAATTTTGCTTTAAATATCTGATGAGATGTGTAATCTTGTTAAAGCAAGATGATGTTGATTCTTTCTGAATACCTTGTTTCCATCAGGGTTGTGGATTACAGTAGTTTGGGGCTCCTGAGTGAGAACAAAATAGAGAAAGAAACAGTTCGCATTGTTAAGTACACTTTTACTTGTGTGAGGGACAGAGCAGAGTGAGCCAGCTGACAAAACTAAATAGTGACAAGGGCTAAAGCAATGTTAACTTCTGTCAGAGGTTGCAGCTGGCAAGATCTCTGATAAAAGATCTCCCTGGTGAGCCCACGAGATAGGACACCTCCCTACCCAGAAGCAGCATGCAAAAGACCTTATCCCTGATCAGCAGACAGACAAGGCTTTGAAGTTTGGAGACCTAAAGAGGCACTCACTGTTTCACCAAGTCCTATGCCAGACAGAGCTTTCCTTTCTTCTTTAATGAGCGTCCTGTTAATGTCTGTCCTGTAGAAAACTTGACCAAGGGCACTGGAAATAGAACTCTTTGAGATGATCTCAAATTTTTGTAAAAATATTTTTCAGCTGTATCGTTTTGTGAATTAATTACAGTGTCATCAACTATAACTAATACATAGCTGAATATCCTTGAAAAATCTAGAACCACTGGACCATGATTAACTTAAAAAACAAAGAGTAGGGCCAGCCCCGTGGCTCACTCAGGAGAGTGCGGCGCTGGGAGCAGTGAGGGCACAGGTTAGGATCCTATATAGGGATGGCCCGATGCGCTCACTGGCTGAGCGTGGTGCGGATCATACATACTGAGGGTTGTGATCCCCTTACCCATCAAAAAAAAAAAAAAAAAAAGAGTAACCTAAAGAATGCATTTTAAAGGTCCACAAGAAATTCTGAGGAACACTTAAAAAGTCTCATTAAAGGGTTCTAGGACTAATCATACAATCACTATAATTTGAGACCTATTGCTGATAAGTAGGTGTTAATTCCCCTTCCCCACAAAAAAAAAAAAAAAAAAAGAGTAACCTAAAGAATGCATTTTAAAGGTCCACAAGAAATTCTGAGGAACACTTAAAAAGTCTCATTAAAGGGTTCTAGGACTAATCATACAATCACTATAATTTGAGACCTATTGCTGATAAGTAGGTGTTAATTCACATCTATTTTTTTTTCTGATTTATGGACTATATATACTGAATATTTGGCTGTAAATTCATGTTTTTCCATGAAGAAAATACTATCTTTCCTATTGCTTTCTATCAGAAAATTGAAGAAATATTTCCAAGTAGAATATAACACTCAAATAACTGATGTAAAAAAAGATTCAGTGCGCATACATCAATGGCATGTTTGGTATTTTCATTACGTGATGTCTTGGCAACTGGGAGTTACTGCAACCCATTGAGAGTTCTCTTCAGCCACAGGCACTATAGCTTATGCTGCCAGACTTAGAGAACCTATCTACTCTTTCCCTTCTACCTTTCCCTGGCTAAGGAAGCTGTGATCAAAACTGTTTTTTACTATTAGATAACCTGCTATCTTGATGTGTCCTTCCTTTAAATGTTTTTCAATTGAGCCTTCTGGTTAACCCAAGTGAAATAATCCCCCGTTATTTGTTATTCATTTAAAATAACTGTACAAGGACAGCAAAAAAATCAGAAACATTTCCGAAAGTCATAAAGATACGAAATAGTTTGAGGAAAATATTATAGAACTCAGAGCACTGAATGCCAGTATTCAAATTCCAATTTTTAATGTAATACCATCTCAAAGTGTTAAACCAATTTAGTTGTTAATTCTGTGGATTTGATTGAAATAGACAAAACTGGTTTCCATTGGTAATTCAATTTCATTCTTTGGATTAAAGTGAAACAGTGAAAATTTAATTTAAAACACAACAAACAAAAAGCTTTAAATTTCCAGTGCCTCTTTATCTCAGAAAGTGAGGTCTTACAAAGCCCTGTCGTCTTAATAAGAGGAAAACAAGAACTCTGAATAAGGTCTATTTTGCTGTTGTCTAGCAATAATCCCATTAGCTCTCCTTGATGTCAACATTTGCATCATGAAAAGAAGAAATCATTGTTTGCACAATCTAGAGCTATCATCAGAAGAAGAGCTAAGAGCAACCAAAGCGCATTCTACTGTATTTCTAAGGCGGCATGCAACAATTTCAACTACAGAGACCACAGCTATCAGTATGATGTTCAATAATGAAATGAGATAATCTCATGTTAGAAACACACTGCTTCACAACTACCTTAACAAAAAGAAAACGGGGAAAAAAAAGAAATGAACATTTTTCATATTGTTGAAAGCAAAAAATAAAACACCCCCAAACAAAAAAATACCCAACAAAATATTTACATGTGTATCTATATAGTGAAAGCAAATGAGAGAAACAACAAAAAACAGTAAAGAACTTAAGAAGGGTTACAAAGAGTCCAGGTATACCAGCGCCGGGGTAGGAATATTTTCTTTGGGGCTGGTTACCACGTTGGCTTTGTTGTTTATCTGTGGGTATGCAGAAAATAGAAACAGAGACACCTTAAACCCCCTGGTAGCCAATGTCTCTATATGCAGCATGTCTACATGGAGATAGACATGAAAATAAAGAGCCACTGAAGATGAATGTGAAAGACACTGTGATGACTAACAGGAATGATGATCACTTCTATTCTCCGATGTTCACACACAGGCGAGGACCATGTCTGTGATGGAATGATAAAACAGACGTGGCTGCTTTGGCCGTGCCACCTTAGCAAACAGACAAAGAGCTGCTTTAATGGAGCTCAAATCAAGTTTCAGAGTATGAAATGGATATTGCCATTTTCATACTCTTCAAGTTGGATTCTGTTTCCAAGCTTCCAATTGTTCACTGTTATCAATACATTCCTTTTTTTTTTTTTTCATTTTATTCTTGAGCTGGAAGTCACACATAGACCATCTTCCTCTGGGGAGCCATCACTACTTTGTTTAGTAGGTATTCAATTAAAACTTAGATCTTCTGGCAAAAGGCAGCTGTTATAATATTTTTTAAAAATGATAAGTCTGGGTCTCCTTTAAAAAATACATCTTCAATTATAAATGGTGAAATTAAACTCTTTTACTGCATGCTGAATGTAAAAGGACTTTATTTTTCACAGTTATTTGAGAGGAAGACACTACGTTGTCTGTCCATGTTATTGCTATCATTGAAGAATATATTTGGTAATATCATTCCCTAGCTTTCACGTAATTGGATTTGACCTTAAAGAAGACACCATTACCATTGTGCAAGTCACATTGTGAAAGCAACTCAAAGGGTCAGTAAGAATTGAAATGGCCACAGAGAAGACTTTGCAGACATGTGGCAACTTGGAACCACAACTGAGTTTGGGCACTGAAGAATCAAAGACTAAAAAGTAATAATTAACATTTCTTTTAAACTCATGCATGACAACTTACATTATGGTTATCAAACACAAATATAAATTAACATTCATTTTCTTACAATATATTTTCTAGGTTTCTTCTTTATTTATTATTTTCTAAAAGAATATACCTTCATAATTTTAACACAACTGTACTTAAGGACTTAAAGAGAAACACATACTGCATAAAATAAATAAATACCAAATGAGTATTTACAAGTGGTTATACCAAATTAACTGTTTTGGGGTTTTCTGGGAAGTCTATACTATATACCTATGGATGTAGTTATAAACTAGCATTGAGAGGAATGTAGAAGATAGCAGAAATTAATTTAGGTGTGTAACTTTTTGCTAGTAATTCACATTAGTGTGGTTAATGGTATAAGTATTATTTAAATAGGCTGTAACACTGTGCTCGGTGACATGCAGGAAAAAGAGAAAAAACTTTTAAACTTTACTAGAAAACTCTTTAAATGTTAAACCATCAATCTATATTTTTCAGAGAGTTTAAAATTTTTTTTCTTAATTAAAGTGTATGGAATTTAACATAACATTTGTGCAAGAGCCAAAAAAGAGATGAGTTAATGGAATCTATTAAGAGGGATCGAAATTCAGTATTTACATTAGTATAGGATTCATGAGAAAAGGGAAGGGATGTCCACATGAATACCTTCCTAATTCAGGAAGAGACCTTGGGAAAACATTGCTGGCTTCTTGTCAAATGATTAGGGGCACTTATGTTTAAAGCACCACATATATTTAATATGCTATATTTAGTTTATATCAGTGGATGCAAATGAAAGAGAAACATTCTGAGATATTTTTATTTCTGTTTTGAGATAATATACTTGACTTTTTTCTAAAATGTGGTTGCCAAGAACAGTTTTATTTTAGTGAAAATGTCCAACATGCACACCTATGTACACAAACTTATCTGCATAATCTTGTGAGTGCCTACGCCCACGCGCACATACACACACTTACACACATTCACACATAGATACTCAGCATACAGACACCATCATCTCTTTCAAATGAAGGCCATTCTGTCTGGGCAAGCCATCCTTTCTCGTCAGGTATGGGAAATATGAGTCAAATTAATATGTGTCTCAACCACCACTTTTAATCATGTTTAAATGGCAGTTAAAAACTTTGTTATTATTGTGAAAATTAGTTCAATAATCTTTGTTTACTATGAGAATTTTTTTGTAGGTATTTGTAATATTAATTAATTGAAAAATAATAGGAAAATTTCTAAGTAATAGGCTAGAAGAACTTCCTTTCAAAGAGTCAAATATTAAGTACAGGTTCAACCATAACTGTCTTTAAACATACAATAACTTTGGCACTTTTGTCTGTGAATGTAGTTATTTTATATTATGAAAGCAGAGCATTTTTATTTTTCAAAAAAACTGAATCAAATCAGATATTTTTATCATGCACTGAATTACTCTTATGAGGCATGGGCAAGATATTTCTATTTCTCAGGTGTAGAATTTATTACCTTTTGAGATTAATAAATATTTTAAAGGTGCTTATTTAGAATGGGTCCATTGTAAGATCACTTTTACAAAATCACCACTGTAAGATCACACTCTTTATACTATGGTGAACATATTATGGTGTGTCTGAACACAGCCGTGATTAGCAACCATGATTGTCATTTTAAAAATAATCATACAGAATTTCTTCACTTATCAGTAAATGGACATTAATTATGTCAAGGTCTCTGTATTTTCAAAGAGAAAATTGGACTTTATCCTTGTAAAAGATCAAGCCCATTAATAACATATGGATGAGGGTTTAACTTTTTACATATTAAAAACATTCAACTTCAGAGAAAAACAATATAATGTGTAAGTGGGGTAATGTGTTTTGATAGCTGATTAACACTGATCTGTAATGGTCCTAACACTTTCTCCACTTATACTAACTTGGGTATATAAGACTGTTTTATTCCTAAGTGTGAATTTTCACAGGAGGAGAAATCTGGCAGATAGAGATCCTCACCATCATCTGAACACTCGAACTGGACTTCCTTTTCTGAATTGACCAGTCAAAAAGAAAGGAAAAGAAAAACATATGACCGGTTGAATTTAAAGTATCAAAGCACGGAGTACAGAATAATTTTGTCTTTAACGAAGAGCTACAAGTTGACTAGAAAACAAAAGTTTTGGAAATGTTTCTTTCTATATAAGGATAGTAGTGAAAATAAATATCTCAAGTAGGAACTATGAGCTCTACATCACTGAACAGTACAGAAAAACCCTGGAGAATAAAACATTTGGAGAATTTAAAATATCACATTTCTGCCAATGTAACATTGGAAAGAAGGCAGACACCAACTATCGTTACTGCAATCTAAATTGAATAAATTAAGCAAAAGGAAGATACAATCACAGGTTGAGGAAAGCAACCGGTAAATGGAAATGCCATCCTAACAGGAATCACAAGTGCATCATCACCATAGCTATGGAAATTCCCAAAGAACACACAGACAGGTGGGGAAGAAATGACTGGGCATGAACATAAGAAGTGACAAATGATTTTCTATGCTACATTTTCAATATGAACTGACCACCTGACATTAGGTCAAGTTCAACTATTAGAATATCAATTAATTCCCAAGAATATTGAAGTGATAATGAGGAATGTATACATTTGCCTTTGGAAGAGAAAGAAAAGAATTAAAAAAATAAAACATTTAGGTGATACTCCAGAAAGATAGCAAACATCATTATGCAAATATAAGCTTACATTCCATCAAAAGTAAATTCCCATGAAACTAAATAATCAGTAGAAAATAATTTATATTATTTTGTTTAGAAATTCAAGAAAGTCAAAATATCCTTCTGGTTTTTTTTCTTGGAAGATTTTTCTAATATTTGTTCAGAATATTCACCTTAATCATATCTCAATACTTTATGATAGAAACACAGGAATAATTAAGATCTTTATAAAAACTGCCCAAGCAGAGAAATTTAGTCATTTGATGTTCTACTTCCAGACCCAATGTGAGTTTCTTTCAGGCTATAGACTTCAGCAGCCTTCAAGTACAGAGCATAATTTACTTAAGAAAGCATTTGGTTTTCACAGATTTTCAGGTCACCATAGTAGTTTGGGACTGTAGTAAAGCAGAGAAGATTTAGACATTCAGTTTTTATAGGAACTCCATATGAGTATTATTTTTTCATGATTATTTAATATGTAATCAAACAGAAAAAAAACCCACAACTTTCCTTGGTATAAATGTTAATCATCGTTGAGTATTAAGTTATTTCATATTTCAACCTGCATTCTTTATCAGGAGCTATAAAAAATACAAGCTGCAAAGACTTATATTTAAGACATATTTATAAGTTTAAAACTTATATTTAAGACTTATACAGACTTATATTTAACATTTTAAAATTATCCAGCATCTGAACGTCAGAAACGGTTTAGGAGCACCTGTTTAACTTACCTTTACTCCATCTGGTTTCTTTAACAAACTCTTCGCTGCTGCAAAATGAGAATAAAATCAGTTTAGTGAGTTATCCATAGAAACTCCTAGCCAGGCAACAAAACAGGTTACTGCTTCTTTTACCACCTTTGCTGAATTATGGCCAACATATGCCAAATTATCAAGGTCACATTGATGAGCACGAGCTTACAGGACATTGAATTACAGTATCACTTTTCTTGGTTTTGCCACAACAAACTTAGAACTAAATTCTTATGTAGTTCATTACACATAATAGAACACTTTGCAGTTGTGTTATTGGACTTTATTTCACTGTCGGTTGCGAAAAGGATACTGAAACTTTAACTGGACTATTCTTTTGTAATCCAGAAAGTCGATTTCAGTCTTTAGACATGAGTTGACAGATTGTATTACATGTTCATTCACACCACAAGTATGGTGACCATGTCAGTTCTGCCATTTAAGCTCCTCTTTCTAGAGGTTGAAAACTTGTAAAAATTTGCTCTGGCTAAATAACATCTTTACTTTTTGAAATCAGATAACTTAAGTCTTACAAAAAATATTAATAACAGTATTTTAAAATGAAATGGTATATTATTGACCTTGAGCAAATTTTTTAAATGCTTAGCAAATGACCTAAAAAATTAAAAATGACATTATTTTTATACTTCAAAATCAGAACACAAAGGCTTCAAAACAAAAGCCTTTACATTGAAAAAGTAAAAATCAGAAAATGTGAGACAAGATATCAAACAAAATAAAATCTTCAGCCAAATCAAAGAAATCCTAAAGCATATGGTCTCATATGAAACTTCATTTTTCTTGAAGGGGAGCTTTTATCATTCCTTCTGTTACTGAGTTTTTTGCGTTTATTAAAAGGTGAAGTCATCCTTTCTCAAAATATACTTATGAATGGGTACATACCCAGTGAACAGATAATGTAACTGTTAATGACAATCAGTACATCGAGTGTAGAATATTCATGAATATTCAGGACAAAGTACACATTTATGCTTCCATTTAATGTTAATTATGTGTAATTATTTAAGTATATCAAAATAGAATTTGGCATATGAAGTGGAAATACACAGCTATAATAAAATTGCATGAACATGTAATTTCCTGACATTTATTTAATTTGGGATATTATTTTGACATCACTTTAGTATGACTTTAAACTTATTTAAAAGATAAGTGTTAATTTAGTCTTTAGCAAGAAAGCTATTAATTTATTATTGAGATTGCAAGAAATAGTTGCCTTAGCTATAATACTGTTTGTTTGAAGCTAAAAAGCAATATTAAGTAAATCTTGTGGCAGTTAATAGGTTAGAAAGCAAACTCAGAATAATTGGAATTGCCATAGCAAGCAAAGAGAAGACAATGATTCAGGGTAAGCAGGGATTTGGCCTGGGAGATGCAGAAATGTCCCTTTTGATTACTATTCACCTTACCTCACAAGAAATACATTCCACATAAAGGGAGAAAAGAAAAAATAAAAACAACTTTATAACCATATACTTATGGACAAATTACTTTAAAGAGCATGTCTGGCAATGAAATAGAATGAATAAAATAGGCAAAACTAAAATGCAATATCAAGTACAAGATGTTGTAACTGGGTCTAATGTTAATCAGTTGATTTTGAAGTGATGGATAAAAAAAAAAGTTTGCTTTTTCATGCTAAGACATTGAGAAACAATATAAAATCAACATATTAGTCCTGAGCTTTTTAGTTTACAGGATGATGAAAAGGAAAATGTGAGGTAAACAAAAAGTTTCTATACATGGGTACATACATTAAGAAAGGCTCAATTTATGCCTGAGAGTATTTAGTAGTTTAACAAAATACACGATTTTAATTCTGGAGGTTTTTTTTTCCAAGTTAGTTTGTAATTAACAATTTATACTATATAAATCATTCTACCTTTTAGTGACTCACTAATTACTGGGCCACAATGAAATATTAATTTATCTGAATATAGTATATATTAGATACTATTTAATGAGATGGCACTGAACTCACTGTATAAATATCAACTATATTAATCAAGTGTTTATCAAACAGGTAACTTGACAAAGGCAGCAAAAAGGTTTTATCACACCAAACAAATTGGACAAAATGCATACAGCTGACCAGCATAGTCCTTTAATTTGTAACATTACTCGTGCTATTACTATTGTTGCTTAACAGCCTTTGGAAGCTAAATACAAAGGCAGGTGGAAAGGTGACCATTTAATACGGTTGCAAATAATAACTAGAAACTGGTTGAAGAACATGTTGGATGGATCATCATGTGATAGCACTGTGACACACAGGCTCAGTATGTAGCAGGAAGTAAAATGAAGGATTGAAGAAATGGCTAGATAGTTTGATACTGCAGATCGTTATTATGTACGCAGTGTGCAAACTACAGTGATAGTACATTGGGCACTAACATTTGACAACTGTTCCAAGTCTAAATGGCCGAACAGTAAATTTACCAAGTGCAAATAATCATTGTTTCAGTCCCTCCCCATACGTAAGAACGATTAGCATTTGCCAAAATCTGATTTTTGGAAACCTCATCCTTTGATATAATCTATCAAAAAAGGAGGCTCCGAAACTCAAAATTTCTGCAAGCAATCTATACTTTATCTCCATTTTAGAGAGTCATTCCTACAATAAAGAAACGATTTGGCTTCCTTTAGCCCATTATTTAACAAATTTATTTTTACCATGGAATCATTCTGAGGAACACTTATTTTCTTATGTTGTTACTGTGTAGTAGGTTCTCTGCAAATTCTTGAGTTAGATATCTTTGACAGTTGTAATCATTCTTATAGCATGACAAGATACTACTGTACTTTTGAAATAACTTAGGCCTAAGAGAACTGGGCTCCTCAGTAATGGTCTTCTTTTAAAAATCTTGCTTATTGGAATTCCCTATAAAAATGAGACAAAAAAAAACTTATTCATAGTTTTTACTTTATGAAATATCAATTAGTAAATTCTATATGTCAAATGCTGAGCTTCAAAATGAGTGTGTATTTCCACAACTTGTGTGTGCACCCCAGCATTTGACAGATGGGTTGCTAGTCCTGCACCAGCACTGACCGTTGGCTGGGGCAGCCTGGGGCACTCTTGTGAGGGGCACAGTCACCTGAAGCTCTGTGGGAGACAGCACCAGGCGGATTACTAACGGCAGCCACAGGTGTGGAAGGAATTGGTGCCATACGTGTGCCAACCATGAACAACAAGGTCTTTCTAATTATCAGAGTTCTTTTAATTACAAAAAGACAAGAAAAGACTACTAAAGAGGAGAGCAGAGGATAAGGAGCCATGCTTTTGTTTCATGTACCTGAAAAATTCCTCGTAGCCAGCATAGTTGTCAAGATGGCACCCTGTTAAAGAAATCAGGATATAAAATCAGTGTTGCCTCTGCAAAGCCCTGACCTAATAAATATAGCTTTTGATAACAAATCTCCTGGCTTTATCCTCAGTTAGGGGATTTTTTTTTTTTTTTGGTTTCCTGAGAGTCACAAGCCTGTGTCTCTCATGATGCTGGGACCACCCTCCTGTGTGGGCTGGATTCAGATTATCAAATTGCACAGCTGTTTTCCACGGAAAAGAGGAACCACAGCACACATCACCACATCAATTCTAGCTTTTCATCACAGGTTTGATCCTGGTGTGTATTCCATTTTCCCAATGCCCACAAAAAGAATAATGAGTATTGAGGTTTACACAGTTAAAAGCCTTTGCTAAAAATTATTTTCCTCACCTACAGTATTTCCCAAGTCACTCTGCCAAATCTACCTCCCCACAAAAATGTACAATTTCTTACCTTTAATTTTCTTCTAGCATTAAATTTCTTCAAGCAGTCTACAGTCTCCTGTCTGTGCATCATAGAAGCAACAGTGGAACGTTGCTGGAAGAAGAGGAAAGTGATTTAACTGAGGATGTTTAAAACATACAAAGCATAATAATATCCTCAACTTCGTCAAATCTTTATTAATGATGCCTGCACCCATATGATCAACTTGTAAGTATTCAATAGCCAAAGTTACCGAAAAATAAGACTGATTTTGCCAAGACTATTCGTGACTAAATGCAACATTTATGTATAGAAAGTAGAGAAATGAATATCAATAATTTCCCCAATTCTCTTTATTTCAATATATATTTAGTCACATTTTTACTGGACTGCCTTTTTGTTTATTCAGCACCATATTTGTTGCCCTAACATTAGTCACTTATTCCTATAAATTCACTGAAGTCTCTAGTTTCCCCCAAAGTTTCACACTATTTTTCTTAGTACTTCTAAAGTATTTTCAGACTACCAAGGCCATTCTTTCCTGCTACCAAAATTCTACTTCCAGCTTCTAAACCTCATATTGTTTCCAAAGCTGCCTAATGATAAATTATTGAACTTTGTGTAACCTTTTCTTCTGGAATACTTTTAATCTCAATGTTATTGTGCCAATCTCTGTTTATAAGTATTGTCAATAATTGATAAGGGGAAAACTCATTACTTGTGTTATTATAAGCAATAGTCTTGTTTAACAATCTATGTAAATCAGACTTTGCTACTTGAAATGGTGTTTTTCACCATGATAAAATTCATTTTTAAAAATACCTTGAGTCAAAAATTCATTCATTCTGAGTTTCACCTTTTTTTCTGCAATAGTATTTTAAATCCATGAAAAAATATTAAAGGACAGTTTATTTTCCATTTTAGCTCCTGAGATTTTTGGAGAACTCTTACTTACACAGATCCAGGGGTGTTTCAGTGCCTCTGACGCTGTGATACGCTTGGCAGGGTTGATAGTAAGCATTTTATTGATGAGGTCTTTGGCTTCAGGAGTCACTGTGTCCCATTCTGGTGATGGAAACTTTAAAAATATAATTTTATAAAGAGTTTAAAAAATAAATACACACTCAGTCAAACAGGCAAGGGTCAAACATACTAGCCATTTCCTTAAGTAGATAATTTCTTCATAAATTTACTTTTTGTATAAGTTAAGCTGTGTATAAAATAGATAAATCTATCTAGATATATCCTGCCCCCATGTATATAACTATATATATTAAAGAGTAATTGATAGGGAACCAACATATATACTTAGTTGTATATTATATACATTAAATACATTTTAGAAAAATAACTTAAGAATCTTCAATTCCTCTAAAAGTATCGTTGCTTTGATCTGAAAATCAGATTTTATGCAATCTTTCTCATAATTATCTGCAAAACAATAAAAGCTGAGAAGTTTTCACATGTATCAATGTCATCATACTATTATGTCAAGGTTCGAAATGAGGTATTATACACTTTCACGACTGAGAAGCAGTACTAGCAGAGATAGTAAAAGAGCTTCAATTCCTGTGCCAAAACTGAACTATTAATCAGGGCTGCTTGGAGTGTTGAAGTGAGAAGAAATCTGAGACTACCAGAGTTTCAGCAGGATTTCATTTTAACACTTCAAGGTGGTAAATATATCTAATTATAAATTTCACCAAAGTGCAAGAAAGCAAAGAATTTTCATGACTTCCATTGGTAATACAATTTTTATATTAATAACTATATAATGAAGCTACTTAGCCTTTCTTTACAATATTTTTGTTGTTCATTATTATTCAGCTTTACTTTCACATAATTAACATATTTAGCAGAAATACTACTTTTCATGGGTTAAGAGAAATTTATATCACATTAGTTGCTAAATGACAGAATATCAGGTTCTTTTTCCAATTTGTAAATTTTTATAGATAATCTTGATAAACAAAGCCCTTGTCACTGTGTCATGTAATTAAATTAGTCCACTTCTAATAGTTATAAAACGGGCAGCTTGTGACCCATTAGCAAAATGAAGCTTGAGAAAAATGATATTGACTCTTTAATACCTGTAATTTTTGCCAGTTTAACAACTGTTGTTTTTTAATTCCAGAAGCTTATCTTGGGCTGTTGTAAAAACTTGCTAACTGTTAGGAACTACTGAAGAAACATTCAAGACTGTTTCATATTGTTGAGTAGGTCTTCTGATAGCAAATAAGGGGCTGGTTCAGCCTGAAGAAAGGTGGCCATTTTCCTCATTTTTCTAATTTTCACAAAGGCACCCCTCCATGTTCACTAAGAAGTGCATCTGCAGGGCTATGTCTGCCCCAGAGAGGGGCTTAGTTCTGGTCTTTAAAGATGGTGAATGTGCTAGCTATTGCCATGTAAATAACAATTTGGTCCAACTATTAGTTTGGCTAGAATGGAATGCTTCAAAGTTCAAAGAATATACATTTTAAATTCTTGATAACTTATACGCACTTCCATCTAAATAGAATATATAAACAGAAATACGTTGAGGAGTTCACGAGGCCTGATAGAACATAACAAACTCTTTTTATATTTATTCCTGTCACTTTCACATGGAGATTTTAAATGTGTGCACAGAAGGTGGACCTGACACTGCCTAGTCCTCAGTTACCCTGCTTAATGATACATAGAAAGCATCCCCAGGCCCTGCACCTGGATTTCCAGAGGGCTGTAGGAGGTGAAACCAGAGGAAGTGAACTTTTATGTATATTTACAGAGGAAAATATGATTTATATTTATCAAAAAAAGCAAGTTCTGTCAATGAGCATAAAGTTATGCCATAAAGAGAAAGCAGATAAGTAAATCCTGCCTCTTCAAATTTTGAACTTAATGCATAACTATTCTAACTATAAGTTAAGTGTATTAGATTTGTGAATTTCAAATATTTTTAAATTGTGAAACCCATTCTTCAAATGAAATCTTGCACAGAAGCCCATTAGGTAAACAAAACCATAAACATAAAACCTGACATAGTGGAATGATGTTCTATTTGATACATGGATTACTGCAAAGTATGGTTGGTATATAACATAATTATGTGATAGACATTTGAGAATATAATTCAACTAAAGAGGCAGTAATCATTTCTAAAATAGAAATCTTCTAATGTTTATGCTTTAAAATGTACTAAGATCCCAAAATTTTGACAAGCAAAGTCTTTCCTCAGAGACTTCAAACTGCTTTCCTTTCAATCTCAAGAGACAGTGAGCTAAAAGGAAATACAAACTGAATACATACGCTGCATTTCTTACTTTTTATCTCCCTTTCTCTAAGACACAGGGAAATAATAAAGAAAATTCCCAAAAAATTATGTTTAAAAGAAAAAACCGATTAAAAATCTGGCTCTTGGTCAATAAACAAAAAAGAAACCCTCATCCAAAATTATATAAATACGTGTCACATACATCATAAGCTCCAGCCTTGATCTGCTGATAGAGTCTGTGTTGGTCTTCATCCCAGAAGGGTGGATACCCCACCAGTAGAATATAGAGAATGACACCTGAAGGAAATTAGTATATTAACATAATTAAGTGATATAGACAACAATAAATTAAATGTGGCTGATCCACAGTGATATCAAGCCATACTCATTAAAACAGAGGAAACTGGATTGTTGGAAAACTTCAGAGAGATGTGTTACGATCTGTTCTGAAGCACTCCATGGAGGGCAAATGCTCCTCTTCCTATGGGCCAAAGAATTCTAAAGAGGCACGGCAGGGCAACATCTAAAGACAAAACTCACCTGTCATTTTGGGTGACACATTCTTTGGCCTCTCTGTACTGTCTATACATGGTCTCCCTGAAATCTTACCTATATAGATGCTGTGATTTTAGTCACTGGGTAGGTTGAAATTTAAAAGCTAAACATGTTATTTATTTCCTCATGGTCATTTGCTGGTAATTAGGACATTTTGTTGAGTGATATTATCCTGGTTATAAATTCATGCTCTAAGTAGCCAGGGTCCCTGTGAGGGTGGATAACATCACATATAAGATGACAAAACCCTTTTCTATTCAGTGATCATAAGTCTTCAAAAATAGAATTTTTCGGGCCGGCCCGGTGGCGCACTGCGCTAGTGCGCCGCTTGGGAAGCGCGGAGGCGCTCCCGCCGAGGGTTCGGATCCCACGTGCAGACCGGCCGCTCACTGGCTGAGCGAGGGGCGGGAGCAGCACCGAGGGTTGCGATCCCGTGGCCGGTCCCGGTCCGGTACGGGGGCGACACTGAGGGTTGCGATCCGTTGCCGGACACAGAAAAATTCTATTTT